GCTGGACCTCCCAAGAGCCCACGAAGGTGGCGACAGTTGCGCACTTCGCAGCCCACCGGGGAGCCGCAAGGTCTCGGCTGGGCCTGCTTGTCCCTTTCACTCCGCTGGACCTCCCAGCGGGCCAGGGAAGTGGCGGCGATTGCGCACTTCGCAGCCCCCTATGGAGCCGCGAGGTCCTGCCTGGATCCCCCTAGGAGCCGCGAGGAGGAGGAGGAGGAGGAGGAGGAGGAGGAGGAGGAGGAGGAGGGGTAGGAGGAGGAGAAGGAGGAAGAGGAGGGGGAGGAGGAGGGGGAGGCAGCACGAGGAAGGACGACGACCAGAGTACTCCGCACTCTGTTCGAAACGAGAACCCAAACTCAGGAGGGTTGGGAATAAGCGGTTAGTTCTCGAGCTGCGCCCATCCTTGGGCAAAATAGGGCCCCCAACGAGGTCACGGGCCGAACGCGTCTCTTGTTGCCTCGCCCAGACCTGAGGTCGGCCTCGGCAGCGGACCTCACACTTCTGGAACGGCGCGAATGCGCTGCAAGCCATGTGCACTGCGAATCTTCAGTCGTGGCGATCCCCGGCATGAGCCACTGGCGCTCCTGTTGACCAGCCCACACGTCGTTCAAGATGCAGACGCATTGAATCTTCAGACATGTTTGTCTTCTTGCTCTCGATGCAGCGCAATCGGAACGACGACGACCCGAGGCAGAACTGCGCCGCCCAAGGCACGGCGGCTGCCGCACAGACGAAACCAACGCAGCGGGTCCGCCTGCATGCAACTGGCGGCTTTTTTGTATGAGAGAAGCCGGTCCTGAGGTAAACACGCTCGGCCCCGAGGAAAGCACGTTCCCCAATAGAGAAGGCAGGGTGCGGGCCGCGGGTGCTTTGCCCAGGCGCCATGTTTTCGTTTCACATGATGTTTGACGGTCCTGGGGCACGTGGAGAGCCACGAGAGTCAACGAAACATGCAATGATTCGGGCGATGAACCCAACCACACGACATTGTGAATGCAAAGTTGTGGCACCGCTTTCGGTGGAGCTCCCTGTGGGGCCACGAACCGTGTGAGGGTGCGCCAAAATGGGGCGGCACCGCCATGCGAACCCCACCACTGGGGCCATTGGTGGAGCTCCCTATGAGGCCACGAATCGTGCAAAAGGTGCGCCACAACTGGTCGCTGGGCGGCACCGTCATGTGGACCCTGCCACTGGGGCCTTCGGCTGAGATCCCTGTTGGGTCACGACCCGTGTGAGGGGTGCGCCAAAATGTGGCAACGCCGCCATGTGGACCCTGCTGCTGGGATCTTCGGTGGAGCTTCCCATGGGGCCACGAACCATGTAAGGGGTGCGCCACACATGTAGCGGTGCCGCCATTTGGACCGTGCCACTGGGGCCTTCAACGGAGCTCCCTTGGGGGGTACGAACCGTGTACGAGGTGCGCCAAAATGGGCCGGCGCCGCCATGTGGACCTTGCCGCTGGGGCCTTCAGTGGAACCCCCTACGAGGTCACGAAGCGCTGCGCTGGGTGTGCCGAAACATAGACATGCGGAGGGCAGGGGCAGGGATGGGAGGACGGAGGAGGGGGAGGATGACGGAGAGCAGACGCGGGGCGCTCTCTCTTCAAAACGAGGACCCAACACCACAGGATGGTTGGGGAATAGTGCTAAGACCCATTCCCATCGGGACGTTCTTCACCCCCGCGCCTGCCGGCGTAGCCCTCCAGCTCGGGCACTGGGGCGCGCAGGCGGAGGCGGCCCTTGGCGGGGGCCAAGTCCTCTCGGACCGCGTGGGGGGGGGGGGGGGCAACCTCCACAGCCCCAGCGGGCGGGCTACCACGGACTGGTGTTAAGTGGGGCGTGTCCCCCTACAGGGGGGATTTTGGACGAAACAAATCAAAACAAATAAAAGTCAAAAGAAAATGATAAAAAATCGTCCCCATACTATTTTTGGACTATTCTTGAATACTCCTCCTGTAGAGGGACAGGCCCGACTTGAGACTGGTGCCGCCGCCCAGGGGACCGATCTCCCGGAACTCCAGGGAGCGGTGGACACGGATGTGCATATGGGCGCGTGCGTTCGCCCTTCGGGCCCCGAGGCACGAGGCGGAGTGCTGTCAAAGTCCCCGAAGAGTCCCCTGCACAGAGGGTCCACGAGCCCGAATTCCGGGCGCTCTTGGGCGCTCTTGAGCTTCGGGGCGTGTTCCCGCGTGCGCTTTTCCAGAGCCTGGAAGGCCCTAAGACGGGCCACGAGGGCCCCCTAATGCCTTCAGGGCGGCCGAAGAGGGCCGCGAAAAGGGCCGAAGAGCGTTTGAAAACCCAAGATGGAACCAAGACGGCCCAAGCGGTCACAAAACGCCACAGGAGGGCTCCCCCACGAGGGCTCGCCCAAGAGGGCACCAAGAGGCCCAAATCCCACCAGCCCTCTGGGCGTGAGTGGTCTAAGGAGCCCGTTCGATCTGCTACCTCCTCCCCCCTCGGGGAGAGAACCCCGGGAAATGAGACAGAGTACGACCATATTGAACACATTCCAGCCACTGTCATACTAGTTCCTGCTACTCTGGCACTAATCCCACCTGGGCGTCGGTGGTTAAGGGCGTTTATTCTTCCACCCCTCCCCCTTCCCCTTCGGGGAGGGGTGTACACGTCCCCCTACACCATCCCCGTGGACTTGGACGGGGGGGGGGAGGGCGTGAGCGGTCAGAGCGTCCAAAACGGCCTCGGCGAGGAAGCCAACATCATTGATTTCACGAAGGTTTCGGGCCCATTCGGGCCTCCTGAGGGGGCAGCCCTAATTGAAACACCCCTCTTCTTTGATCGATGTCCTCCAAATGGCCCCTAAAAGCGCCCAGGAGACCCCAGGAGGCCCCAAGATGGCCCCAAGAGGCCCCAACAGGCCCCCAGGAGGCCCCCAAGAGGATCCCAAGCGGCCCAAAGACGCCCCCCGGAGGCATCCAAGCCGTCGAAAAGTCCCTCAGGACGACCCTCTACTCGCCTGGGCGTCGTTTCTGGATGGGCTGGTGGGGATACTTTTTGGTTCGCGGCTCCAAGGCAAATGTCAGGGAACGGACGCAGCGTCAGGGATGCGGTACGGCGCGAATTTGCGAACACAGCCGCCACTGTCGACAGCCGTTCGCACCTGCAAGACATGCTCGCAGTTGCACATGCACAGAACAACATGAACTTAATTTGCAAGCGAACGCACATAGGCGCAGCAGCGAACCGGAGGGCACGAGCTACAAGTGCGAAGGCAGCAGAGTGAGTCGCAAATGCGGCGCCAGATTCAAGCAGGCAGTGCGAAAACGAGAGCGAGCGACCAGCACACACAAGAGCGAAACAAAGTACAATGGTGAGGCAAAAAGGGGGGCCTGTCTCAACGAACTCACTGACGCAACAAAGTAGGTGGACCACGTTGAAGCCTTCAGTAGACGAACCACTGGTGTGCACTAGCGAGGTGACCACTGGTGAGGGTACTTTTTGATTGACGGCTCCAAGGACAGCTCCAGGAAGCGGGACAGGCTCGGTTGGGGTGCAAACGAGATAATCGGCGACGACGGCACGTAGGCCGACGGCGCAAATGCACGTGCAAGAGGCGAAATGCCCCCATTAAGATGCGAGCGACCCAGGAGCAGGGGCGCAGGCACCAGACGGAGCTAGACAGCCGAGAGTCGCAGTGGCGCCAGCTCGAACCGTGCTGACTGGCGCGTACAGGCGTGCGGCACGCTGCGCTGTGGCAGAAGGGGGGGGCCCGACAGGCCGCTCCGACAAACACGACGAGGCGAGAAAGCGGGGAAAGGGCGGCCGGCGCGAGAGAACGCAAGGGCAGAAGGGGGAGAACCAAAGAGCGCCTCACTCACAGGACTCCTGAGCGTGGTCGGGCACAGCGATCGCCTTATGCACGGACCAACCCAACCATGGAGTCAGAAAACCTGCGACTGCCGGACCCCGAGGGTCGGGGGGGAACGATAGCAGGCATGGCCGAGCACCCTGGACCACCCTGCAGGAGGTCTGGAACATTGCCAAAGGATCAACCACTTGAGCAGTCCAGCTCGAGGGTGGCACCCACCGAAGGGCGGACCAGGTCATCGGCGAACAACGCGGGCAGCTTATCCACCACGATGGACGGGGGGGCACAGCGGCGAACGTCGGTGGAGGGACCAGATGAGAATCCGTCGGCAGTCGAGCAAAGGATGTACCACTTGTCGGCGCCGCACTCTCCCCAGGTCCGGCCCCAGGTGGTGCGGGGCGGGGTGGCGCGCCGGGGTTGCATCCAGCCGTGACCCAGGAACAGGCGCCAGGAGCCGCGCCCTGGCCACATGGGCGAACCACGCCCGCACCAGGGGCGGGAGTCGCACAGACTGGGGGGGACTGCCAGGGCCCGAGATATCCGAAACGACACCAGGTAGCCTCGCGGCAAGACCGCACCTCGGAGCAATGCCAGTGGGCCTCCCGTTGCAACGTGTCCGAGTGCGCCGTTGGAGCCTCGATGGGGGGACTTCGTGCGTCGTCGAGTCAGCCAAGGAGGAGGAGGAGAGGAGGAGACGCAGCCGATAGCCGCACAATCCAGTGAATGAAAGGAGGAGAGGGAGGGGGGCGTCAGAGCTGACCACGCCAAGACCATGGCCTCTGCGGTCCCTCCACCCAGAGTCGCGGTGGGACCTCGGCGACCGCGGGGGGGGCAGCGCGTCAGACCACTTCGGGGGACCTCGCTGTCACTGCCCCAAGCAGCAACGTGTCCGAGTGCCCCAGTGGAATCTCGGCGGGGGGAAATCGTGAGCCGCCGAGTCAGCGGGAGGAGGAGGAGAGGAGGAGACGCAGCCGATAGCCGCACAATCCATTGAAAGCAAGGAGGAGAGGGAACTGGTGGGGATACGCGAAGCATCTAGAATTCCAATTACTTAAATATGAATTCCAACAGACCTACATGGGAACCCTCACTGGCGTCTTACGGGCGTCTCGCGGAGGCGTCCACGAGAGGCGTCTTGCAAGCGCCCCAGAGAGGCGGTCTACAGGCGTCTTACGGGCGTCTGAGAGGCGTCCCTGAAAACAAAAAAAAAACAATATTACCGGCGTCGTGCAGGCGTCTCAGGGGCCTGCAGGCGTCTCTGAGAGGCATCTTACAGGCTTACAGGCGCATGTTAGAAGTTGTTTTGTTCTTCCCCCCCCCCGCGCGCTTCCATGAGACGCGTCGTGCAAACGTCCCTGAGCGGCGTCACTGAGAGGCGCCTTTGAAGCGCGTCTTGCAAGCGTCTCTGAAAGGCATGTTACAGGCGTATCTGAAAAAAAGCGTCTTGCACGCTCCTTCGAGAGGCGTCTCTGAGAGGCGTCTTAGAAGCGGCTTACAAACATGCACAGACGCCTTACAGGCGTCTTAGAAGCGTCTTTGATGGGGCATCTTACAAACGTTCCACGGCGTCTTAGCGGCGTCCTGAGAGGAGTCTCGTAAGCGCCTCTGGGAAGCGTTTCCGATAGGCGCCCGGCCCCCAGCCCGGACATGACGCAACATACAACCAAGTTGAACACCTTCCAGACACTGTCATACCAGTTCTGGCCAATTACTTAAATATGAATTCAAACCCACCGACATGGGAACCCTCACTGGCGACTCACGGGCGTCTCGCGGAGGCGTCTACGGGAGGCGTCTTACAAGCGTCCCTGAGAGGCGGTTTGCAGGCGTCTCACGGGCGCCTGAAAGGCGCCCCGGGACAACAAAGAAACAGTATTACAGGCGTCGCGCAGGCGACTCAGAGGCGTCTCTAAGAAGCGTTTCTGAACAAATGCGTTTTGCATGCGTCACTGCGAGGCGTCCACTGGCGTCTCTGAGGAGCGTTTCGCAGGCGCCCCTGAGACGCGCCGTACAGGCGCCGCTGAGAAAACAAATCTTCGAAGCGCGTCTTTCAAGCCTCTCTGAGAGGTGCGTGGCAGGCGTCTCTGAGGAGGCGCCTTGCAGGCTCCTTTGAGAGGCGTCTCTGAAAAAAAGGCGTCTTCCAAGCGTCCTTGATAGGCGGTGTACACATACCTCACAGGCGTCTGAGACGCGCCTTCGAGGGTCGTCTTACAAGCGTTCTACGGCGTCTTAGCAGCGTCTCGGGCAGGCGTCTTGTAAACGTCTCTGGAAAGCGTCCACGAGGAGGCGCCTGACCCTCCTTCCATAGATGCAGCAGCATGCATACACGTTGGAGACACCCCAGCCACGGTCACACCAGTTCTGGCCACTCTGGTACTAATTCCAATTGCTGGAATATGAATTCCATCGAACCTGCACGGGAACCCTCGCTGGCGCCCCACGGGCGTCTCGCGGAGGCGTCTACGAGAGGCGTCTTACAAGCGTCCCTGAGAAGCGAATTACATGCGTCGCACGGGCGTCTGAAAGGCGCCCCTGAAACAAAAAAGTCTTACAGGCGTCGCACAGGCGTCTCAGAGGCGTCTCCGACGGGCGTTTCTGAAAAAGGCGTTTTACAAGCATTTCTGCGAGACTTCTAACAGGCGTCTCTGAGAAGCGTTTCACAAGCGTTCCTGAGACGCGTCGTACAGGCGTCTCGGAAAAAAAAGACGTCTTTGAAACGCGTCCTACTAGCGTCTCTGAGAGGCGCGTCACAGGCGTCTCTGAGAGGCGGGCGTCTCCCAGGCGTCCTTGATGGGCGGTGTGCAAATGCCTCACAGGCGTCTTAGACGCGCCTTTGAGGGGCGCCTTACAAACGTTATACGGCGTCTTAGCAGCGTCTCGGACAGGCGTCTTGCAAACGTTTCTGGAAAGCGTCCCCGAGGAGGCGCCGGA